TCGGGCGACCTGCACAGGGACCGCGGGGACAGCAAAAAAAAAAAAAACGCTCAGGCCTGCCGCTTCGGGCGAGAACTGGTGCGTCTGAAGGCCTACCGCGCTCCGCCGGCGGTCCGCGCAGCAACAATGACCTGGGTGCAGCAGGCTGTGGCCGCCGGCTCCGGCCCGCCGCTCGACAGCATCCTCCACCTCGCCGCCCCAGCGGGCCACAGCCGCTTGCCCTTGCGGCCCTAAGCCTGGCGACGGGCCGCGGCGGGCTAAGGCGGCTAAGGAGTAGCTCGGTAAAGGACGGTAGAAGGATATTAGGCGCCGGCTACGGCTGCCCTTGCCCTTGACGGAGCGGCGCTCAAGGTCGGCACGGCTGCGGAGCTGAGGTCGACGCCTACGGCGACCACCACCTCGCCTGCCCTCGCTGCCCGGCGTGGCTTTGTAGCCGAGCGCGCGTGCTGCGCGCGTGGGTCCTCGCGAAGCGGTTGGTCCGGAGGGTCGCGTCGACCCACAACAGTGGCTCGCACACACCACGGCGCCGCAACTCCCGGCCGACGACCGCCGCCGTCTCGACTTCGTCGTTTACGGGGCGACGACCAATGGAGAGGCTCTATGTCGCGATGCGACACTCCTGTCCCCCCTCACTCGCGCAGGCCGCCCAGTGCCTGGGGCTGACGCGCGCGCAGGGGTCGCCCTAGACGCCGCTCGCCGGCGCAAAGTCGCGGGCGTAAACCTGGGACCTGGACCCTCGTTTGCAGTCGCAAAAAAAAAACAAAAAACTTTTCGGCAGGTGTGAGGGGGAGAAAAAATTTGTACAATGGTTAGAAGGGTCTGCGTTCCTGCGCTTACACGAACACGTCCTGAAATGACTGACGAACTGCAGGGGGCACAGGCCGAGCGTCATTCACAGGGTTGACGCTCACCAACCCATCAGGGAGTCCCACACTGCAGCTAAGCAACCCAGAACACGGCGACAATCACGGGGTGATGCTAGCTGCCACAAGGACTGGGGCAGCTGGGCAAGATGGACTTCACAGCGAAGGCGCAAGATGACAACATCAATAAGCGCAGTGCATGCCACAATCCATGCATCAACATCCTCTAAAGGTTGCTTTGAAAACACATGTTTGCTCAGAGGCCGTGAGAGAGCAACCGAACACCCAAGGAAGGTGGTCAAGGCCATCGCTGCCCAGCAGTGATTGGAGATCGCCACAGACGGGGTTCACACATCCGTCCGTCCTGCAGCACTCCCCATCATGCAACACCGGAGAGAACGCCTTTGGGGAAACAGACATAATCAAGGGTGCCTCCTCTGATGTGAGTGGCCACTGTGATGTTAGACGTCCAGTTAATGCCTCGTCGTACCATATTCGCCACAGAGGCATCAGAGATATCGGAAGACATGTTCAGCTCTGGGACAGGCGTGGCCTGCCCCCTTGCAGCCACTGCAGTCGCTTGCCGCCCCGCTGAAGGGCAGTAGAGGCTGTAGAGGTGGAAGGGGCCGGTAGATTAGACCGCTTCAGCGGAGAGGAAAAGTCCGTGACAAAAAAAAAAATGTTCAGGTCGCCACATCCATGCATCAGTGATAGCGTCTCAGGACCTGCTTGCTTTTTCTTTGAGCATCAACTTCATCCCACTCGGCAAAGTACGCAGATACCAAGAAAGGCGTTCCTTTCTTGATGCGGAAGACCGTGGGGGAAGGTAAATGCAGCCTCAAGACTCCACACCAGCCAAGGCTAAGCAAAGGGACGTATAGGACAGATACAGCATCAAAATGGACACTGGCATGGCCGTTAACAATATATGGTAGGCCCGGCAAGGCATTCTGCACATCCAGGCCCGGCAGTCTACGGCGACCAACTGCCAACGCCCATTGCGTTGTAAGGAGTGCAAATACCCACATGCACAATACCACTTATTGTTGGCCAAGGACGTGCCACACGGATCCATTCCGCCTTGAAGGTCCAAAGTTCAGCATCGCACCCAAGACTGTGTTGTCACCCACCGCCAACTTGGACTGAATCACACGTGGGCCAGATTGTGCTGCAGCAACCTGCATGACACATATTTTCTTTCTGGATTGAGCGCGCCTGCGACACTGAAGAATCTTGTTTTTTGACGCGTCTTGACATCACAAGTACTGGCCCAATCTCCACACAAACAGCTGAGTTCATCCGCAACTGCCACAGCCAAAAACAGTTGCCGGCATCGGCAATGACCGAACGACAGAACTTTGCATCCTGAACCATTACTGAACTGCTGCATCAAGCCGAATGCCGAACTCTCTACGAGCAAGCTGTCGCGCAGCACAAACATGATGTCCATGCTCGACGCAGTGCTGTACATGCAGAGATATGTGACCCGAAATCACAATCTGCCGATGCATATCTCGCCCGTTGTCTGCATAAACACAAGCCCGGCTTATGGACTGCATGACTTCAGAGCTTGGAGAAGTGTATCATGGTCCTGATGTGGTGGCAAGAGCAAGCCAATACATACAACAGTTTCAGCAGATCCCGGCGTATGCAAACATCAATGGACGCATTGAGGCTGAGGACCGCCTGAATGAGCTTCGAGGCCGTATGCGAGAAATTGTTCGTGCAGATTTTCGGATTTTCGTAAGCCCAGCCAGCTCACTTGGGATCGTTCGCAGCGTGCTCTTCGTCAGATAGATTCTTCTGCCGCTTGTCGGGGCCTCCCGTATGCTGCGTTGCTTTCCGAGTCTCGTTCGAACGCTTGCTTTGTCGTTGAAATGCAGGGTCTAGCCTGGAAGTTGGGCATTAAAACCATGGACTACGCAGGGGATCATATCGCGTGCTAGGTCTCAACCCATGCCAGGGTCGCCTTCAGGAGGAGTTGCGGTGTCAGCTGGAGCCGGAAACGTGGCTTCACACGAGCCACATCCAACAAGGACGCTGTGAAGCCTCGGTTCGCCACTCCTTGCAGCTACTTCAAAGCACAATCTTCACTAACGGAGTGGAAGCCTTTGACAGCCAATGGCGAGTTCCAATTCTCCTCAAGCTGGCAGAGCATGTTTCCGAGGCCGCATTTGGTGCATTGCTGATGACCTCCTGCGAACTACCGAAATGAGCGTAGTTAGACCTGGCATGCGATCGCGCCGGTTTGCTGTCTCTGTGGGTTCCGTTGAAGGCAGGAAGCTGTCTCCGTTGCAATTCTGCCTGGCTCAGGCACACCTGGGCAAAAGCGCCCAGACATGCTTGTGGGGTGTCGGAATCAACCCGCCCATGGAAGCTGTCACTGCCTGTCATGAGCATCAGGGTGGGTCTACAGATGGTACCCACGACATTGCCGTTGCTGGTTGTGTTCTTGAAAGATAAAGGATGGCGCTCTCACATGGGATCAGGCCATGCTGTTCTGCCGCCGAGCTGGTCATGATTCTTCTGATCATGTTCGGTGCGCAGTGATTCATGGTGAATTTCGTTTTGCTTCTTGGTGCTCCATCCGGTGCAGTAGCCGCAGCCGCTAGCTTGTTGCCATTATGCGAGAGGAGTCTGGGAATGCTGGCTTCTGTTCTTCATCTTGTCGGCGTCGTTTTGTTATTCTTGTTGTTTGTTTCGATCTTGTTGGTTGCTTTGTCGCTCTTTCGATGGCGATAAATAGGCTTTGCGTTTTTTTCCGGTGCAATAACCAGAGCCGCTACTTCTTTGCTCCTATCCGCAACTCAAGAGCTCCATGCCGTTGACATGTTGGTCTGACGTGACGTTACATGTCGACATGCGGCAATGTTTCTTTTTATTGTTGCCAGCTTCAAACAGCATGTTGTTTATGTTCCTGCAAGACTATGGTCCGTCCGCCCCCTTCCGTGTACGGCTGCCGCGAATCCTGGCTCGCCCATGGGTTATGCGGGTTGTTTGTGTTCCGGATTGTGGCCGACTGCCAGAAACCTTAACAGGAAAGGTCTGTCTGGTGGCTCTGGTGGTCAGCTTTATCTGATTCCATTGCCGTTTTAGTCCAGAAACTTTCCTGAGCCCTGCCGATCCGGTAGCGGTAGGCTAGGCCCCAGAGCCGAGATTGTGGGCCGATAAAAAAACGGAATGAATATTTTTTGGCGCTGGTTATCAAGAGGGGGTCGGGGGGGTTCCGGAATAATATTCCGTGATGCGGAGCAGTACCCGCAAGCCGTCTCCCCCCCTTGATACCTGCCCTTTCCGTGCTCTCAAAACATCAGATACGGGTAAGTAGTAAAGTGCCTAAGCAGCTGGATAGGGTTGGCATTTGCGGTGTGGCTGCTTGCATTTTTCTGCGTTGCGACTCGGTATTTGCGATGTTTGAGCTGCTTGGGGCTCAGTTTTTGGAGTGTCTTCCAAGTGTTTGCAAATGTCGAGCGCAGCCATGCTTGCCAGGATTCTTGCACGTTTTTTGGTTTCCGATTTCACTGGTTCGGGACGTCGCCTACCGGTTAAACCGTTCCACTGACGCCGACGCCACCAACGGTCGTAAACCACCAACACAAAGCCCACTTTGTCGTTTTTCGATACAGACCCCCTTCGTGCAGAGCTATTGTGGCCCAACTTTCTAACTTTCGTTCCTTGCTTGCTGCACGCTGGCCTCCACACCGTGATTCAGGTGGGTTTGACCCTGCCAATAGATCACGGATTGCAAAGCGTTTGGATCCCGCGAGGCATCATGGGCTGCTCTTCGAGTGTGAGCGCGATGCACGACGTAGAAGAAATTGGTGATACTCGCGTTATGTACACGGACCGTCGGCGAGGGCGCATGTCAGTTAATCCAATCGCACAGAAGCCCCTGCAGGACCGCACTGGACAAGAGTTCGTCCAGCATTCCGTTCCATTCAAGGATTCGGGATGGTCTGGTAGATCGAGCCTTGCAGTGTCTTCCACCTTCTCGCTTTGACCCAGGAGGGCAGTCGCCGCTTCAATTCCATGCGCATCAGCGACAAGGAAGCCTCCGGAACAGTCGTCCCGCTTGCAAGTACCCACAACAAGCATGTGAAGCGGCAGCTTGCATGCAACCTTAACTTGCCGAGTTCCGAGAGCCAGGGACGAGTTCTCGGCATGCTGCCGGCATGGGTCGTCGAGTGCTTAGGGCACACCGAGGCTCGACAAGTTCTTGGCGGCCATAGAGGAGAACCCGAGATTGCTGGAGAAGAGGGTGCTGCCCAGCCAACTTCCGAAGCACCGCAACCAAGCGCTCCAGAAAGTTGACAAGGACCTATAGCGCTGCCGGTGGTAGTAGCTGGTACTTGCGCTTGGAAAGCCTTCGGTGATCAGGAAGTCTCTGAGCAGAGCCTGGCGGACGTNNGTCAGCACAGACGTGTCCAACTTTGCTTCGAGCCCTGGCAGCTGTGCATAGAGAAGGCATCCTTGCATCGTGTTGCATCCATGCAGAGCAGATGAGTTTTTGCAGACGGGAGGCCGCCGTTTCGGATGCTGAAACTCGAGCCAGGGATGTGCTTCACTGACATTGTCCAAGTCATCGGTGTGGCATAGAAAAGGCATATCTTTGACCCCGCAGCCCCAACGTGTCTGCAAAGGTCAAGCCAGTCCTTTCTTAGTACCTTTTTTGCAGAGTTGTATTTCTTTCGGTTCGGCCTTGCGATCTCAATGCTCCATCCATTGAGCAATCTTGGCGGAAGGAGTCTCAGGCATCTGTACGGTTTGCAGATTGGGATTGACTCATGTTGCGCGATTTGATGTGATGCCTCGAGACTTCTTCCAGTGTATAGTCAGTATAGGTTAGTATAGTCTTGTAATGTCTTTTACAAAGTTTTCCCTGCCGTACATCACCCTCGGGGTGTTCGAAGAATTTGACTGCCCTCAGAGCTCTCCTGAAGTAGTCATTACCGTGGTAGTTATAACTACTGTGCATCAGCTGCAGCAGCACGTCGCAGCAGTCGAATCAGAAGTTGTTGTCTTGTATCAGCAGTAAGGCGCATGGTAGTCGTCGTCGTAGTGGTACCTGGTCGTGCTTCTTGTAGTAGTGGTGGTAGTAGTAGTA